AATGCCCCCCCAGGATGAAAGACTGCTTGTTGAGTCTTTGAAATCCAGCGGCAAAACGTCCAACGAGCAAACAATGAATGGAAGGTAAAAATCATTACAGTACCTGTTCTGCTTGTATTTGTTCTTTGAGCCAAGGGCACTATCAAGCCCCCAATCTGGCCAAAGTGGAAGATGACCAACGGCCCCCCGCCCGGCCAAGTCCAACCCTACATCCATTCATTCCGAGCGTCCTCTCCAAATAAAGAGTCCTCTGCTCTGCGCCGCACCCGTGTCGGGCCCAGACCGCTGGCAGCACTGGCCAGTGCCGAAGACGCGCTGAGATCCCGGCATCTCAAGTCCCAGATCATGAAAACCCAGACTCCTTCCTTCCGCTCGGTGTCATTGGATGATCAGATGCCCTAGGGCTCCAAGTACCTCCTCAGAAGGTATCTGGACCCTCTGAGCCCACCCCAGTCCCACCTTCTAAGAAGGTACGACTGGAGCCCAAACGGGATGATGAAAACCCGTGTCATGCTCCCTCCGAGCTTCTTCGGCGTCCGATCGACCTAGCTCTCCCCTTCTTGGGCGCTGTGAGCGTTCGTCGCCTTTCCGGGGTTGGCCCAACAAGACGTCCGTGGGATTCGGTGCTTCTGTTGAATTCGATCCCCTTCAGCCCCCTGACCGGCTGGCGTTGACCTTGGGCCCCCCATGCAAAGAGAATGGAAGAGACAGCACGGGCCGAACCTGAAAGCACTGTCAGGGTGGTCACACCGGAGTCAGGACGCTCATGTCATGTCATATCATACGGAGAAGGTCCAGTCCTCCGGCGCCTGGAACCTCTGAGAAGCCTGGAACCTTCTTCGGCCTCAAAGCGCTTGGAGATGATGATGTTGAGGCCGAAGACCCACAGTGTCTTGGTTGATCAGAAGCATGACCACAATCTCCCAAGCAACCACATGAGAGCAGTCAGAAGGGCGAATCTGGTTTCTAGGATGTTCTATGGGCTCCCGCACGTCCATCCCCTGTGTCAACTAACGAAAGTTACACATCTATCCACATCTTACACACCTTAATCCTCACATCTCTTGCCCGGATTTCCGCGCTCCCGGCAGCCGGCGCCCCGAAACCACGGCCGCAGAGCCGCAGAGCGGCCGAACTGCGTTGCACCCCCGCTGGGCACGGTCTCCCGGCCGTGCACCGCCCGCGACGCGGCGCGGGCGCGGCCGCGCGCGCGCCGACGCCGCGGTTGCTGCGCTGGGGGGGGCCGGGTTCTCGGCCGTGGCGGGGGCAACGGCCAAAGAGGAGAGCATCTCAGTGAACGGCCATCAGGATGGGCCATGAGAGGAGTGAGGTTTCCTGAGACCCTAGCAAAGTCTTAGGTTCATATTTCAACAGTGTCTCGTGTGAGAAGGAAGGTGAGACTTCGAGTGATTCCTCAGAAGCCGAGGATAGGCTTTGGGAGAGGTGCTTGGGAACTCCCAATATGATGATCAACTACACGACTCTTGATCAATGAAACCCTCCCAGCCTGAAGAGGTTGTTCAATCCATGTCTGGGGGGTGGAAACGTCATCAAGAGTATTGGAAATGCTATCATCAGGTGGTCAATTCTGATCTGAAGAAATTCACCCGCCGCATGATCCCGTCGCAATGCGAAAATGCCCGAGGAACATCCGTAAAAGAGATCGTTCGGGTGCCGAGATCCCACATGAAAAAGCATTGAGATTGAATGAGATATGAGATGATATGGGATGATATGAAGAGATATGTTGCGGGGTTTTGTGAGGTCTGATACGGGCATGGTGAGATCACAGGAGCTGGCCCAGCAAACCCTTCTGCTCACCTTTTCTGGGTCTATTCCACCATCGAGTCGGAAGACTCTCAACCGTCGACTCCGGATCGGCTGGAAATGGAGGCCTCCCATGACATGTCCATAGCCTGAATCCCGAAGCACCATTGTTTTACTGAGGATGGCACATCTCTGACAAAACGAGATAAGTCTTGAAAGGCTAAGGGAATTGTTGGACGGAAGGCGGACGAGTTTCGAGGCGAAGCGAAAATGGAAAACCGTCTTTCTGCGAAGGGCATGGGGTTGGTGGTTTCTCCGGCAAGGGGGGGGTTGATCTAGTTGATTGCCTTGATTGCGGTGATCTAGTTGATGACTCTGCGATCTCGCCTGAATCGGCGGCCTTGGTTCACGGAGAAGCTCTTGATTTCATTGGATTTTCACTTGATGGCAGCCAGAAGCTCTTCTGATTGCGCTGGACAAACCCCCAGGGCGGCCTGATCTAAGAGATTGATGAGATTGATGCTTGTTTTCACCTTCCCCCACCGGGACCTAATAAACTCTTCTTGCGCTGAAGGAAGGGTTTTGGCGGGCCTGGCTTGTACCCAAGATGACCAGCAGTGCGTCTTGGACTCGACAGGACCGAGACCTCACCGTGGGACCGGGAACCCGTGGGACCTGGAGACCTTCGCCGAGTGCACCAGAAATCTGTCAAGACAAACGATCTCTGAGAAGCTACAGCTTGCGTTTTGGTCGCAAGCTGGAAGCCTACAGCAGCAAAACCCTGAGATACCCTGAGTACAGTGTGTTCCATTAAGTTTGTTCAGTGTGTTCCGTCCATGAGAGCTTGCATTCAGCTTTGCGAAGCTTTCTGGTGACCCCGGTGACCCTTTGGGGGGGAGGCGATGCGCAACAGGGCGAATCCCTTGTGGACCGAACTGGAAAAATTCCTTGAGCATATACATTCACCTGGTGGGGCTGCCCTTCTTGTGAAGGTGAAGCGACCCCAAGTACTACTTCAAAGGTAGGTTTGATTGATCAAGTTTTGGGAGGAGTTCATTTCGATATTGAATAGAATATCGAATAGAACTCCTCCCAGAACTTGATCAAACCAAACTACTGCAGGTCTGGACCCCGAAAATTCCCCCCGAAAAACGCCCCAGGAGGGCAACGACTCAGAAGAGCTCAACTCAAAGGCTGGCCACTCTATGTCCGGACAGCGAGACCTGGCAGAGACGGACCAGAAACAAACTCGTTCGACTGCTGGGGGTCCGGTCCACTGCTGGGGGTCGGTACACTGCGGCTGGATGTTTAGGGGATTGAGCTGGTGAAGCAAAGATCAACTACCAGGAGTCACAGAGCTCGGGGTGGTGTTTAGTCCCTAAGTCAGTGGATAGTGGGCACCCCTAACCTCCATTAAGCACCCCTTTGTGACTGCAGGTAAGCGTTGGTCGCCTACTGACGCGTTTATGAAGCATGCCAAAAGCTTAAGCTTGCATACCTCACGGGAGTACTGAACCTCGGAAAAAAAGAGATTGAAACGAAACAAGCAGCATGTTTTACATACGTCTTACCACCTGGTCGTGCCACGTGGGTGGGGTGTGACTTCGCACCGTGACCGCCCTGGTGTGAACTCCTGAACTCCTGACCGCCGTAGAAACCTACAAATTGCAGATCATGGATCGATGAACATGTAAAAACATGTATGGAGACATGACGAGACGCTGAATATCTACTTATATCTGTACGTCTTCTGTCTTCAAAACGATCGTGGACCCCGAAATAGTGGGATGTGTCCATTGCCACATGTGGTCTTTGATGAGTTTTGCCAGTCGCGCATCTAAAAAAGAGGGACCAAGTTCGGCCAATTCTGACCAACAGCTAGTGACAGGTCCACCAGGTCATTGTGCACGAACCAGAACCCAATTCGATCATTCGGGGAAGAGATCTTCGTCCAAAGGATCCAACGTTGGCCGTGACTTGGTTCACGCGCCGACGTTGGCCGGGGCCTTTGGCTCGCACGAGAAACCGAACGTCGGCAGGAGGTTCCCCAAAAGGCAGCCATCTGCACCCCAAAGCTTCGGAACACTCCACCACCTTCACGCCGTTGACGGGACGCCCCTTCACCGAGCCCTTCACCCCAAGTCGTCCGACTCACCCCCACCCCCACGCCGAGCGCATGTTGGCGCAGACCGACTGGAGCGCATGTTGGCACCCGGTCGTTTTGCAAACCAACCGCGCGCGGCTGGCGAACCAAAGGGCGCGCTCGCGCGGCGCGGACGTCGGGGAACCTCGGGTTCGCTGCCCGTGGCCGTCGAGGACGGCAAAGATTAACAAATCGCACCTGGCGGGCTCGAGCCTTTGGAGCGGAGCTGGGGAGCTGGTGAAACCGCACGTGGCAGGTCGGGTTGAAACGGTCGGCTTCGTCAGAGCTGATTGAGGATGAATGAAGAGTGTCCCAAGGAGCGGCGCGGGGTCTGACACCAAACCCCTTCAAAAAGTTCACCCCTTACGATAGCCTATCGTAACCCTATGGCCCTATACTGTATACCTGGACCACTTCCACGACCGCTTCCACCCAAAGATGTCTTCCTCTGGGAGGGTTTGAAAAGCCGGCAGCAAGCTTAGCATTGACCACCGCACTACCGCCACCTGCATCCGGTCTGTTCACCTCGGGTCCTCTACGGGTCAACGGGTCCACGGTGGTCGGCGTGGGTCGTGGGTGCGGGGCGGGACCGACGCCGGACATGGACGCCTGGACCGCCCGGGAGTGGCTAGGAAGTTCCAAGAGAGGTTATATAAGTGACCTGATGGGACCAAGGTACCCCTACTCAACTTAGTCACAATGCGACCAAGAGAGGTGGAATGTGTATGTGACCTGAACTGGGACCTGTCACCCGGGGTAGCGAACTGGGATAGGCTAGTTCAATTCCTTCAACCTCTGTTGGTTGGGAGAAGCGACAGCGGTCCGAGCTGAAGCTCCGAGCTGGAGTGGTCGAGCTTAGCTCGTTTCCAAGGGCGGAGTGGCGAAAGAACGATGTCCTTCCAGCACCTGGTGGATTGAAGTCTAGAAAACAAGACCGACGAGCCGCCTTTGGCCCAAAAAAGAACGCCCCCAAGATGCTCAGACCTTCGGTCTGGGCATCCCTAAATCCGCCCCCATCCCTCGAAGTAAGCGCGGAAGTCAGCGCGTTCCGCTGCCTGTGCCGAGAGCACAACTTGCTCCAGGTTCCCTGTCAGCACTTGGTACGTCTCGATCCTCAGCCCAATGGGGACCGTCTGTGACGAATCTGCCTGCCTGCCTGCGTCAGAGAACCGGCCCCCCAAAGCACCGATGCGGGTGGCTTGGACCTAGAAGGGTCCTACATCTACTACCATCCAACGATCTTTTTGCGGAGAGCCCGTGGGTCCTCTGTGTGGAAAGTTGTCTTCCCAATTTAAAGGTCCACTTTCATTTCGGAGGCAACGTAGCTAACTACCAGAAACCCGCAAATGAAAAATAAAAGGCTTTTCATATACAATAACCAGGTTTTTGATGGTTTGTGGGGCCCCTGGTACTGTGTGGGAAAGAGATTTCCCTTAAAAAGAAACCCTCCATGAGTTACGCATTTGTCAAACCAAAAAATGATGGCAGTCGTCAAACCATGCGTTTCTTGGCAGTTTTTTAGAACTGCTCAAATTGGTGACTCCGAGCACAGGATGTTGGATGATGTGGGTGTGTATTAAACTATATAGGTCCAACCAGCTCCTGAGAAGGTGGTTGGGGTGGATTTTGGGGGTCTAACCACCTTCTGAGGATATGGTTGGAGCCCTATAGGGAAAATAGGGAGACCTCCTAGGCGTTCCGACCCCCCTTGGAAGAAGGAATATCATAGACCATCATAGACCAGCCAGGGGCAATCAGGTGTCTTCCTATCTGAAATACACCCATCCCATCATCTAAATAATTCCAACGCTGCAAAAACCTACCATACTCATCCATACTCATCCGTGCTCATCCATACTCATCCATGCTTGTTCCAGGGCTCAGCACCCCGACCTCCCTGGGCATCCAGGCGATCGTGACCATGACTGGTCTTGCCCTGCCAGCCGTCCATACCAACAACGCCCCAACAGCCGTCAGCGACGTGCCCCTCTCGCGGGGTCGTCCATCCCTCGCGCGCGGTCCACTGGGCTTCGCAACGGACCGAGTCGAATGGGATATACCAGGACCCGACTCGTTCGGGTGTCTATAGCCATATAGCCCCAAACAGCCAGCCAGCCGTGAGGCAAGGGGTGTCCATGAAAACCACCCCTTGAAGGCCCTGGTGATGGGCTAGTCATCGGATCTTCGGCCGCCCTCCTGCGCGGGAACACCACCGACTCCGCCACGGAAGAAGCCGCGACCCGCCGCCGGGCGACGGTTTCGCCGCCGCGCCTGGGGTCGCCGCACCTCGTAGCCCGCCGCGCGCAAACGCTGCAGCAGCTCCTCGGCGCCCAGGTTGGAAGACGCGCGGCGCCTGCAGGGCCAGATCCAAGAAGGGGGCCCATCTCTGTCTTCCCTGTGGCACCCCCAAGATCCACCCGTGACAGGCGCAGGGCGGCAGGAAGGCGGTTCGGTTCAGGAGGAGGTTGTTTTGTTCGGTGCGTTTGGCTTTTGTTGGGGGGGACCGGGTCTTCCGGGCCCGGCATTTGGGTGGAGTGCCTGGAGGAATCGGGCTACTGGGTGGGGGGGGGGTTTAGGTGGAATCAAACAAAGGACCTGGTGCCCGGGTCTTCTACTGTAACGATCTGTAACATGGATGGCCAAGAGGTGCGTTGGAGATTCTCCGGATGGTGGTGGTGGTTCTCTCCACTTTCGATGTAACTCTTCTTGATCAGCGTCCCGATCCAGCGAGCACTCCAAGGTTAGCTTTGTACAGTGAGGGTCTTGCATAGAGACCAAGGGGCAACCCTTTTAGCTAGGCTTCCTGGCCGACCATTGATTGAATAGCCTTTACCAGGGCCCCCTAAGGGGTGGTTAATGGACATCCCGTAACCTCTGAGGAGCCATAATTGGACACCCCTTAGGGTGCCCTGGTACATGCCCTTTATATCAAGTCACAATTGTTTCTACTAACGACTTTAATGACAGTACACTACGAACCAGGTCAACCTTTTTGAAAACAGTTTTGCGAAGGCGAAGGGTTCATCGGTTCAATCGACCCACCGAACGTCACCGCAGCAGGAGGTGGAGTTCCAACGCCCAGAAAGACCGGCTCCAAGCGTCCAAACTCCACCCAGCGTCGTGGTGTTTTTTCACGGTCCACACCCAGTCCGCTCATCCCCCCGTTCCTGCGGGGCAGTTGGGGAAATGGTGGCCAGCTGGTCCAGTCTGTCGTGTTGCACCCGGGGGATTGAACCCAGTGGTCTGGTGTGCTGCCAGCTGGTGACATGTCAGACATGCAGGAGTGTTTGAGGTCAATCTCAGAAACGCCGTCCACCTCTGGTGCCGGACCGGATCCCAACAAACGTTCGGCCCAACCCGATGAAAGCCGATCTTAGCCCACAGTGGATCCCAGGGATCAACCACTATCAGCCACTATAGATATGCAAGAAACCAGCGGTCCTAAGGCCCTAAGGGGGTTTCACCCACAGGGAACATAAGGCATCACCCTAAGCTTATAAAGTTATTTCATATCCTTGTCCTTGATTTAAAAAAGTAATAATACTGAAAACGCTCGACGGCGCAACCTTTTCCGTCTTGGAGCCGCGACGGGCTTGGCGGTCAACTGACACCAGCCCCCCTTGGAGCCAGTGCCCGCCGCTTGCGGAATGCCCTCTTTCGGGCTGCCGCGTCACCACGGAGCTTCTTGGCGATCTCCGTGTCCTTGAGGGCCCACTGCCCGGTCGCCATGACCTTCATGAGCTTGCTGTTTCCTGCAAGCTTTGTGAGATCATCTGCTATGATCTCCTCCCCCGGGACCCAGCGCACCAGCCTTGCCGCTCCATCCTCTTGAAGAGCTTGGCGCATCGAAGCCACATCGATTGCAAGGCGTTCGTATCCGGTTCGGGAGTCAAGGACTGACACCTGCCTCCATTTGGCGACTGAAGCAAGCCATCCACGGAGCGTGAACGCTCCATCCATGGACTCCGCCATGAATGCCCTCAGGTAGTCGGCCTCCTCCATGGTCGTGGCCGCCTGCGAGATTTCGGCGGCCAACGTTTGAGGACTCCGGAGTGGCACGACAGGATGCAAACCGATGCCTCGCCATCGAGCACCTTAGGGTCGGCCACCATCAGCACTGAGCCTCCTTGAGACCGACCGCGAGGCATTCCAGCAAATGAGGCATCTGAGACACCGAGGACGACCAGCTTGTCAACGTGGCAGCCCAACTTCTTGAAGACCTGAACATGTTGCTCTCGGGCCCTTTCCACCAGTATCTTCAACTCTTGAAGGGCAGCTGGATCGTTCGTCCCGGCCAGTTGCTGGATCCGTGAGCAGCCAAAGAGAAGATCTGCTCGGGCTTGGCGTGCCAACCAGCTCAGCTGCCCAATGATTGCTCCAATCCATGTCTTCTCATTGGGCATCAAGGGGGCCGTCGCCCGGAAAGCCGACCTCATGGGTGGATCTTTCACCTTCTTGGCATATTCGTTCATCTGGAGCTCCACCGTGCCATCAGGTAGTTGACGTTCCCAACGGCCACAAAACTTGGTGAACTCCTCTGGATGTACCCAATCTCCGAAGGTGAACAGGCCCTTGAGCTTAGGCCATAGCTCCACTTCCGCCAGCGGACTGCAGATGAAGCGCACATCGTCCACATGCACCGCCAACATAGCCCAGAGCTTGCCTTCCGTGTCAAAGAAGGAGAACACTCCGGGGGCCAACTGTAGCTCCTTGCCGCCGATGGCGATGATGTCTCTTCGGAATCGCTGGTACCATAGTCGAGGCGATTCAGCAAGGCCAAAACCAGCCTTCTTCATCCTGAAGAGATCTGTTCTCGCTCCCGGAGGTACCTTTGTGATCAGGTACTGGCGGACGAAGAGCGGGTAGTTCGTGGGCGATTTCAAAATCACCCGGCGCCCCTCTGGGAGATAATCGCCCTGCAAAAAGGCTGCAGAGATGTCCGCAAAGTACATCTTCCACTTAAACTGGGCAGCCAGGAAGCACAAAAAGTTGTGGGCCAGCAGGGATGCCGTAGGCGCCTCCGTGGCATAGTCCCCAGCCCGTTGGTCCCGATGGCCAGCAATGACCAGCCGTGCTTTGAGCTTGGCCTCATCCAAATCCTCATCGAGAGGGTGGGTATTCTTGGGATCGGCCTTGTTGACAAGCACAAACCCGCTGGGCAAAATCTCGGAGTCCTGAACGATGTCCTCAGGCATCACCGGAGCCAAGGCATCGTGTTCAAAGTAAATCTCCAAGGCCGCAATGATCGGCTGCTCGAACGCTTGCTGCCAGGCCGGTGAGAGATGACTCCACTGTAACTCCAGCCGCATCTTGCCGGTCTCGGGCTTCTCCACATCCTGAGTCGTCACCGGATCTGGGTCATTTAACTCTTGGATCCCAAACCACTCGCTGACCGGTGTTGGAGGAGGCAGAGCTGTCGCAGCTTCAAAGGCTTCAAAGTAGCCCAGCACATCCATCATCACATTGGTGTGCAACTCGCTCTCCAGGGGTTTGCCCTGCTCGAGCTCAGTGATGTTCACCTCCGCAATCACCTCCTTATAGGCCCCATTGGCTCGAGCCGCCTGCCTCCAGAGTTCCTCCACCGCTTGTCGACCCTGCATCCATGTAGCCAAAATTGGATAATCCGTGGCGGGGTCCAGGGTCACAAAGCGAGTGATGCCCCTCCAGGTGCGGTTCAGGTCAACTGACGTGTTCCAGCCACGCCAGTGGATGTTGTCCAGGATGTACTCCTTGGTTCCAATCGGAGTTTGATATCCCACCTGCGTAGCCCGTAGCCCTTGTAGTCCGGGTACTGCATCAGGTAGAGGCTCTCCATCTTGTATATGTTCTCCGTCCGGAACCACACCCGGGACAAACATCCTCCTTCGCGGCCTCAGGTGTACCCTCCAGACTTCACGTTGATAGGGAGAGTGCAACCAGTAGTCCTTCTCTCCTCGAGGGCTTGTGGCCATCTCCTCTCGATCATCATCTTCGTGAAGTCCCTGTTGTGCCACACCCGGGTGTGTTTGACCCGTGTTGATGTGCCCCCGACGATATGCTTCCAGCACCTCCGTCTGTGTGAGTGGCCGTCTCAACCTGCTCGGCACATCTCCCAGTAGCCTCCAACGGTCGCCAGGCACCTTCGCTCTGGTACACGGAGAGGGGTTGCGCAACATGCCAACTCTTCTGAAACCATCCGCTCTCCACCCGGCTTCCAGCACATCATAGTCATAGTCCAGAGGCTGGGATTCAGAGAGCATGTCGGTGACATATGCCTCCTGTTGTTCTTCAGTCCTTGGTGCCGGTGCCTGTGACCCAACCTCCTTCCAAGTCTCCTCAAACATATCGACTTCAATGAAGGGCGAACTGATGGAGACCTCGGTCTGGTTGGAATCCTCGGAGGTGAATGGACTGTAGGTGGGATCACCACTATGTGCTTCCTCGGACTCTCCATTCTCACACGCCTCAGCTGCTCCGGAGGTGTTAGCCACAGGTGTCATCACCAATGCACTTTTCTTCTCCAACTTCACCTTCATCTTCTTCAGATGCTCTTGCGTGGTCCGGAAAGCCGTCTCATAGAAGTCCCTCTTCTGGCGGACCGTTCGGAGAGCCGGGTCAACTGATGAAGATGATGCCACGGTTGCCCGAATTGAAGACTCCTCTAGCTCGGCCGGAGATAACCTCCTCCGAGTTGACCGTTCGGCTGTTGGCCCCTCCGTCCTTCGGATCTTCTGAGCGACCGACATTGGCAGATCATCCAGCACTGATGTCGCCTTCTTCAAGGCCTCCGGGCCAACATCATCATCTGAAGGCTGTTGCTCATCGTCGCTCAGGTTCATCACGGGATAACGAGGATCCGAGGCCGGGGCCGGTGCTGCTTGAGCGGCAGGTTGTTCTCCTTCACCATGAGTGGGGATCAACTCGGCATTTACTCGCCCTGACTTCAGCTGGTTAGCGAGCTCCTGCAAGGCTTCCTTCGTCACCTTGGTGGCCTCGATCTCATCTCCAGTGGCGAGTCTGATGTGCTCTAGCGGCAGCCCCTTCAGCTTATGCCTGTATCTAATCCAGACCCGCTTGATGGCACCATCCAGCCGCTCGACAGCCACCACGACAGCTGGTCCCACCCAAGAGATGTTATCCTGCAGGCGACGAGCCAGACCACGGCGGCTGATCGGCGGCTCATAGAACATGACCTGGGTGCCCTCCACCAGAAGTTCCATCCGAGGCAACCTCGACCGTGACCCGGCAGCTCTCTTCAAAGCCTCATTTGCCTCCAGCCATTGGTATGCCTCGGTTGCCGCCCGTCTGATGGCTGCCGCTCGATGGTATGCCTCATCCATCGTCTGAGGTTGTGACACCTTGAACTGGAACTGA